ACTACTCATATCATCAATATCAATCAAGCAGGAAGTAGGGTTTTACCTCCATCGAGAGGGCCCGAACCTGGGTAAATATTGTGTCCCTTGCCTCCTGTTACCATCAGCCTAAGACGCACAGATCGGGACCCCCTACCCGAGATCCGCCGGTTTTGACACCAACAACAGGTTCTCTTCTTGTGATCATAGGCAGAAGCTTCAACATTCCTTGAGCTGGATCATGAAGACTTTCTGAAGCCTTTGTTCTTGGTGAATTTCTAGAACTTTTTCACAAGCATAGCAAGCTCCTTTCCAATGTCTTCAGGATCACCAAAACTGCAGTCAGATTCTTCTTCAGATGAGGAAGCAGCAGCCTTTGCCTTCAAAGGTCGAGTTCGGCCATAGTTGGGGCCATAGATATCTCGTTTCTCAGATAGCTGGTACTCATGTGTGTTGAGCCTCTCAAGTATGTCAGACGGATCGAGAGTCTTAAAATCAGGGCGTTCTTGTATCATCAGGGCTAAGGTGTCAAATGAGCTGTCAAGAGATCTCAGTAGTGTCTTCACTATCTCATGCTTTGTGATCTCAGTGGCGCCGAGTGCTTGGAGCTCATTTGTGATATCAGTGAGGCGATCAAATGTGAGCTGGACATTCTTGTTGTCGTGTCTCTTGAAGCGGTTGAAAAGGTTGCGGAGAGTACTGATACGTTGATCTCGTTGAGTTGAGACGCCTTCATTGACCTTGGAGAGCCAGTCCCAGACTAGCTTCGACGTTTCCAGAGCACTCACACGGCCATACTGTCCTTTGGTAAGGTGACCACAGATGATGTTCTTGGTAGTAGAGTCCAGTTGAATGAACTTCTTGACATCAGCAGGGGTGACACCTTCACCAATCTTGGGAACGCCGTTCTTGACGACATACCATAGATCGACATCAATGGCTCCAAGATGCATGCGCATCCTATTCTTCCAGTAGGGATATTCAGTGCCATCGAAGATGGGGCACGCAGCGGAGACTTTGATTATCCCTGCAGTCGACATAGCTAAACTCCAGGTGGTTAAACCAAATCACATAGAACAAGGGAGTACCTTGCTCTGATACCAATTAAAAGGGCTAGTTATCGACTAGAGGGGGGTGAATAGGCGATTTTTATGAAAGTCTTCAAAATGTGGGAGTTTCGAAGACAAACAATATAAACAACACTATTCGATTGCAGCGGAAGGTAGACTACACTAGACAAGCCACAGTCAAGTATTTAATGAAGTGAAAGCACGAAGACTAATAGCAGCTAGGTAGTAAAGATCAGGATGGAAGATAGTATGAAGCCAATCAGAACAGGTAGTCACACAGTGAAGACAAACAGATAATGCAAGCAGGAAATGATGTCACGAAGACAAACTGTAAGTAAAGAGAAGTAAGAGATAGAACCAGTGGCTTCACAAGGACAGGGATTTGTTCGACCAGTTCCAGTTGTTGTGACAACTGTACGTATGGTTAGGGAGGTTGAGATTCAACTCAGAAGACCGCGTCTTCACCTTATTCCCCTTGAGCTAAGGACACCTAGTCCCCGCCCAATCACTCTGGTAAGTCTTCAAGGTAGACTTCCGAACCTTCACAGACTTCGTTCACCAGCAATCCACAATGACTCTTGGATGCTCAGAACGCGACGCCTAACCGGCTGGAGGATTCACAGTCCTCAAGTGTAACAAGTCTTCAGATCACGCGGACAGAAAGACTTCAGTGACGCCAAACACTCTTTGAGCTCTGGGTGGTTTGGGATTTGTCCTCGCAAGGATTCTCTCTCGAAAGCTTCGGCGGTGGGGTGCTCTCAAACGACAAAAGTCGTATACTAACTTTGAGCAGCCACCAATTTATGGTGTAGGGGGTGGGCTATTTATAGCCACTGGGCAACCCGACCGGATTTGTCCGAAATGACCCTGGGTCACTAAGGAACTGACACATGTCGCAACGGTCAGATTTTAAACACACATGGCAGCTTCACTTGGGCTACGAGTCAAGCTGACTCATCCGACTCTGGATAAGATTTTCTCTCTTTGTCTTCGCTCGAAGACATAGGATTTGGTTGAGCATCACTTCAGTCACTCTGACTTTATTCACTTGGACCCCACTTAACAGTGCGGTGGTTTCTATGACTCAACAAAGAAGAAAGGAGAACAACGAAATAACTAAGTCTTCGCGCTCCATAGTCTTCACTCAATGTCTTCTCGTGTCACAGTCTTCAATGTGAATGGCTTCACAAACCACCATTGTCTTCAATGTCTTCACACATTTTTAGGGGTCATCTCCGGTAGGTAAACCGAATCAATGAGGGACTACTACCTGTGTTATCCTGCAACTCTCACAAACACATTAGTCTCTCAATCAGGTTTGTCGTCAATACTCCAAAACCAACTAGGGGTGGCACTACATGCACTTACAAGATCTCTTGCACAACCGTGAGTGGCATACCAGTTAAGCTGACTAATCTTTGTGCAAAACGAGGAGTGCACATACTTAAGAACTAACACTAATGCAGAATTTAGGTACCTTTTCAAAAAAAACAAATATTTGTTGGAAATTCTGGATAAAATTGTACAAATCAAATAATGTTTCAAATCCAATAATTTTCGAAAATTTCAGTTTTTTTAGAAGCATGACATATTTCAAAAATTTGAACAACATTTTTTAAAAGCATGAACATTTCAAAAAAAAAGATATATGTTAGTTCAAAATGTTAAGTATATTCCTTTGAACAACATTTTCAATCATTTTAAAGAGATATGAGGAGCGTGCAAACTTAAGAAGTAACTTTCTGAACAATTTTATGAACACAACGTGAACACTTGCTTTCTTTCTGGCTTATTATGCGGCAAATGTAACTTCGTGGAGTTTTAGGTCTGGTTTTCACGTTGTTTTATAAACGGGCTTTATTCTAGTTTGTTTTCCTTTTTTATTTTATTTTTCCTTTGTTTTCCATTTTATTTTTTCCTGTTATTTCAAATGTGTGAAATTTTTAAAATAAAAAAATCATGAATTTGTTCTCAAATTTTCAATCCTTTTCAATTTCTCGAGCTTATTTTTCCAACTTTTTTGGTGGACTTTTTTGGAAAAAATTTGACATGAATATTTTTTTCAGCATTGATGAACTTATTTCAAATCCGCAATAGCTTAGCTGGTTTAGCTATCACGTGGGGAACAAAGCATGCATTGGGCCATTTGTATCCTGCATGGTTGGACACGTGTGTGCGATTGAGCCTTTGGTGTTGGGTGACACGCGAGAGGGGGACTCGTACTGGATGCCTGGATTTCAGTTTTTTCTTTCAGTTATATGGTTTAATACCAAACCTGATTTGAATTCGGTTATTAAAAAGAAACAAAATGTTTTTTGGACATTCTTGAAATGAACCCAACATTCTGCAAGCAGGTGTGCATGCCCATGATAGGCATCCATGCAAGGTTTGAATGATTTCTGACACCGTATGCAAGTCGCGACACCTCCGGCCATTTATCGGCATTTTAATTTGTTCAAAAAAGTAAGAAAATGTTCATAACTTCAAAAAAATGTACATGTCTACAAATTTTGTTTGTCATTTCTCAAAAAAATAATCAAGAATTTCGGAAAAAGTTAGTGTTTTCCAAAAATTGTTCAAAATGTGTTTATTCAAAAATTTCACAACTGTTAGAGAAATGATTGGGATTCCAAAAAATGTTCATGTGTTATAATTTGTTTGGAATTCAATAAATGTTCCTGTTTTCATATTCTTTTCAAAAATTTCAAAAAATGATGTTCTTAGGCTTCTGTTACAAAAATGTTTGTTGTTTTTCCATTTCTTTTCTGGAGTTGCAAAAAACGTTCATGTTCCAACAGTTGTTTGTGTTTCCATAGAAATTTGGAATTATAAAAATGTTCCATTTCTAAAAAATACTCGCATTTCAAAGTTGTTCATGGTTTTAAGAAAATGTTTCAGTTTATTATATATTTGTTCAAAAATCTGAAAAGTGATTCGGATTCACAGAAAATCACGTTTTGTTTTCAAAAAGATATTTTACGTTGGAAGTTTTTAAAAATATTCTGCGTTGTTCTTATCCTTAAGGCTCCGCGCTACTTTTTAGGCAAAACAGGTTGCTAGGTGAGCTGGTTGTACCACGTTTGCCGTAGTCCGGAGGTCCTGAGTTGGAGCTCTTGCAAGCTTGGTTTTAATTTTCAAGCGCTGCTATAGGCTATCTTCATGGGCCGGCCCAATCTGATGGTGTCCTGTACGACTTGTGAAATGACTATATTACACTTTATACGTGTTAGAAGGGGGTTGTACCGAAGCGGACACTTCTTCTTCGGTACAACCCCCCCTAAATACATCAACGGTGGAGATCTCATTTGTCAAATAACTTTTTGAAGAAATAACAGTTGACCCTCAATCCCGAAAACATATATGCTCATCTTGTATCTCAATCTTGCATGCAAGTCAGATCATTTTATTTTATTTGAAAAAGAGAATAACCCCCTGCCTCTGCATCAGAACGATGCATGCGGCCATCTTATTAAAATCCAATCAAAACAAAGTTCACGGTTCAGTTTATAGATGGTAACCTATTATTGATTGGTCAAACAGTTTGGTAGTAACTTTTTAGAAAATATGTCGTGTATAGCACATCATCTTTTATACTCCCTCCGTCCCAAAATAAGTGTCTCGAGCTTAGTACAAATTTGTATTGGAGCTAATACAAAGTTGAGACACTTATTTTGGGACGGAGGAAGTATGTTGCATGTATGTAAGATGTTTTGTTCTTCTTTGATATATATGGCCCCGTTACAACACATTGGCAATTACCTAGTAGTATGTTACAACATATGGAGTACTACTTATTCCCCGTAAAAAAGCAACAAACACCGCAGGTAGCATCGATCAGGTCCCAAGACAACACACCTTCAGGAAAGTAGCAACACTGGATGTCAGTATTCTTCTTTCTTTCTGCGGTGAAGTATATTTAGTTGTTGCAGTTAAGTAATTAAACTGAAGAATTCATCTTTGCCTTCCAAGATATGAAGCCTGAATTGCTTGGATCTTGCTAGCTGTATCTCTCATGTTCGCTCTTTCGCTGGGGATGGAGTGCGTGCAGGAGACTGCTACTTGCAGCAGAGACACGAGGCACTGATGAACCGAATCTTCTGATACCCTCCTTGCTTCAGCAGAATCCTCGCATTCTCCTTTTAGATAAATGTCAATCACTTCATGTATTTGATGTGGAAACTCGCTGCCCACGAAGTTGACGATGTCCAGTCCATCAGTAAACATAGGATCTGTTGGCCTTTTGCCAGTCAACATCTCCAGCAGCACTATCCCAAAACTATAGACATCCCCAGAAGTAGATATCCGGCCTCCCCCACCGTATTCTGAAATATGTACATACATTAAGTTAGTTTGTGTCACATGTTGTTAGCTACGTAGCCATTAGTTTGTTCAAGATAAAAAAGTATAGCTGGCAATAGGGGCCTAAATACATTTCTTCCGTACAAACAAAAATGGACTGGGTTCCACTATCATAAAATACAAATTTACCTGGTGGGATATACCCTATGGTTCCTCTTACACCAATTGAACTCGTCGAGCTTGCTGGTCTGGGCCCAGAATCAAGAAAAATCCTTGCGATGCCGAAATCCCCCAAATGAGCAACCATGTCATCGTCAAGAAGAATATTGCTGGGCTTCAGATCACAATGGATGATGGGGTTTTCACTGTCATTATGTAAATAGTCCAGTGCATCTGCTATGTTGACAGCTATGCCTATTCTTTGAGTTAAAGTCAGATGCTTATCAGCTTTGCCGTCCCCCTTGTGATGAAGCAACGTGTCCAAGTTCCCCTTGGGCATGAACTCGTAAATTAGGGCCCTGAAAGCACTACCGTCGCTATCAACAGTAGAACATGCAGTTATGATGGAAACAAGATTCCGGTGTTGAACAGTTCTCAGCGCTTCACATTCTGACATGAAGCTTCTCTCTGCGCCTTGCATCTCAAGGTTAAAAACCTTCACTGCCACTTCCAACTTGTGCTGCACCAACTTTCCCCTGTATACGGTACCATAGCTTCCTTTCCCAAGCAGGTTAGACTCGGAAAAGTTCTTTGTTGCTTCAACCAGATCACTGTAAGAAACTTTAGGGAGATGCTCACCCAAAGGAGCCTGTGATTCATATCTTGTTCTTCTCATTTTTCTCTCGAGGACTAGAAAGTAGACCAATAACAGGAGCGACATGAAGCCAAATAATGGTATCAATACCCTGATCAAGTAATATCGTATCTTAGTTCCACGATGAGAAACAACGGGGCATGGGGGCATATGTAGTTCCGGCACCCCTCCACAAAGCTCTGAATTGCCATCAAGCGAAACGGCTGAGGCATTGCTAAACACTCCTTTTGTTGGGATTGCTCCTTGAAGGTGATTATGAGACAAGTCCAACTTGCTGACAAGTTGAAGACTTACAGGGATGGCCCCTGATAAATCGTTATAGGAAAGGCTGAGCATGTTCAAGCTCGTAAGGTCACCAAAAGTGGCCGGAATGTTACCCGTCAAGTTATTATGGTCCATTTGGATGGTTACCAGGCCTTGACACTGGCTCAGATCATCAGGAATTTCTCCTGTGAGTCTGTTAGATGAAAGATTCAGAGTACGGAGTTGTGTAAGCCCACTAATTTCTGCAGGTATGTCACCTTGGAGATTATTATAGCTAAGGTCCATGGCTGAGAGTCGTGTAAGTTTCCCGAAAATGGGAGGTATGGGACCTTCAAATTCATTTCTTGCCAAATACAATAATGATAGCCTGTTAAGGTTGCCAAAAGAGGGTGGAATGGCCCCAACGAAGTTGTTTCCTTGAAGATTTAGAGATTGTAGTTTTTTAAGACTTCCTACCCATCCTTCAATTGTACCATTGAAACTGTTTGTGCTAAGATCTAAATCTATCAAGTCACCAAGGCTTCCTAGGCTTAAAGGAATTATTCCCGATAGATTATTTCCACCCAGAAGTAGAAGTTCAAGTTGAGGGGACAATTTACCGACTGAATTCGGTATGACACCTTTCAGCTGATTATTCTTGAATCTCAGCACTTGTAGAAGACTACAGTTTGTCAGTCCATATAAAGATTCCCATCTTTGGTTGTCACTTGACTCAAGCTTATTTTCCCCAAGATTTAGGTATACAAGGTTTAGTAGCTTTCCGAAAATAGGAATTTCTCCGGTGAAACTGTTACTAGATAAATCTATTACTTGTAGGCCTGAAATATTGCCCAGCGACGCTGGGATAGGACCTTCAAGCATGTTTTGGCCCAAAGTAAAAAGTACGAGATTAGGAAGGGTGTCGCCAATGTCAAGTGGTAGTGCCGCCATTTGTAGTGTATTTGCATCCAAGCCTAGAGCTTGAAGCGAAGTAAGATTAAAGATTGATGGTGGTATTTGACCTGAGAGCCTATTGCTACTAACAGCAAAGACGGTCATGGAGGACAATTGTCCAAGCTCATGGGGTATGCTTCCCCCTAGTTCATTTTGTTGAAGAATGAGTTTTTGTAGCTTGGTGGCGTTGCTGATTGTTGGTGGGATGACCCCAGTGAGTTTATTCTTAGAAAGGTCTATTTGTGTTAGATTGTAAAGCGAACCTATTTTCGCGGGGATTGGGCCTTGTAGCATGTTTCTAGAAAGATCCAGACCCTTTAGGTTCGAACAGTTTGTGAATGAATCGGTGATTATCCCTTGGAATGAATTGGAGCTGAGGTCAAGTGAGATCAGCTTGTGGAACTGGTTCAGAGGAGGTAACTGGCCGGAGAAGCCATTGGAGGACAAATTCAGGCGCTTAAGGAACGTTATGTTCCCAAGAGAAGGGTTGACTTGACCTGACAAGCTTTGGCCAGGGAGATCCAAAGCGAAGACCCGCCCTAGATTCAGTTTGCTGCATTTGACACCATTCCACTTGCAGTAATGGATGCTTCGGTTCCAGTTCCTCAAGGCATCTGTTGGGTCGTTGGTGGACTTTTTGAATCGGAGCAACGAGCGAATATCTGTGATGTTTGGGTGAACAGTTGAGCAACAAACATTGTCAGCTCCATAAGACAGCAGCAGAAACGCCAGCAGAATAAGCATGTTGAGTTTCACGGATTGGTCAGACATGAGGCCCCGTTTTACCTGCAAAAAATACAAAGCACAAACATGGTAGCTTATATGTCATGTTCACCGGCAGAGCCACATGGCGTCCGTGACGAAACACGGCAAAACGTACAGAACTATCGAATTCGCCAACGATCCAGGCATCACGTACGTGTGCCCACAACTGGTTATATCAAGGATACTAGCTAAATAGAAATAAAGAGCATATGCATTTTTGACAGCAAGTAGTCGTGAGAAATGGACAGGGGCGTACCTCTGCAGTCTGCAGCTCTGCTCGACAGGAGCGCACAAAACGGCAGCTTTGGCAGCTAGGCTTTGCCGGTGGTTTGTACTTGGGTTTCGATGCTCAGCTGGCTCAGGCCACGGCGGTTTAAATGCAGTTATTACAGCAGGTTTGCGCCACACACTGTATTCTCAGCACTCACGCCTTATCTCGATCGCTGTCCAGGCTAGTCCTCGAGTAGCGCGGGTTAACCGAACCTTGCGCCACTTGGGACGTCTCTTGTTTTTACCGCTGCCGTCGCTTCATGAGCTGGACAATATTGTCGCCGCCCGTCCGGCCGACGACCCCACGGTGACTAACCGTCTACTACGGCTCTTTTCAGCCGGACCCAGATGGCAAATTTAACAAATTTAATCTGTGGATGAAATCAAATCACAGAATGAACTGCCCGTGAAACTATTTCACATGGCTGACCTTTTTGTATGACGTCCGACACGAAGGCGTCATACTACACTTTGCAACGCCTCACAAATAGGCGCTACACGCCTGACCAACGTTGCACCCTAAACTCTGCCTAAAAATTCTTAAGTCGTTGTGCAGAGCCTAAGAGCTAGGCGCTGGACTGTATAGTGTGGCGCCTAGCTCTCAGGCGCTGCACTAGTGGTTGCACTACAAAATGAAGCAACCACTAGTGCAACGCCTAGAAGCTATGTGCTACACTGTATAGTGTGGCGCCTAGCTCTCAGGCGCTGCACACTGACTTAGTAATTTTTGGATCACACGGGTACGACGCTGGCCAGACGTGTAGCGCCTATCTGTGAGGCGTTGCCCAGTGTAATGTGGCGTCTTCGTGTCGGGCGTCACACAAAAAGATCAGCCGCGTGAAATAGTTTCACGGACAATTCATTCTGTGATTTGATTTCGTCCATAGGTCAAATTTGTCAATTTTGCCAAATCAGACAACGTATCTTCTGCGTTGCTGCGGCGGGACTTGCCTCCAGCGGTTTCAGTACTGCTAAGATTCGGCACGTGCAACGGTTTACTTGTCCAAGATGCTCGTTTCCAAATGCGTTTCGGCTTGCACTGATTATCGTCCTTTCAGAACGTATTTCTGCGGACAGGGTTCATTTCTTGCTTTTCTTGGACGCATTAGCTGGTCAAGTAAACTTGTATGGATTCGATATGGACAACATTTGGATGAGCCATTGATTGCCGTGTCTTCCACGGCTATTATAATGGTTAATAGAAGCAACAGACATGCAATGGGACCAAATATCTCGATAGAACCACCATCGGGTGGAACGGAACACTTTTGTTTGAACTCGAATATAGGAAAAATCCATGTTGTAATTCTTAATTGATTGTTGAGACAATGCTTGGGGTACTTGGTTCAACACAGTTAAAGAACTCGAGTTTAGGGCATCCGCCGGCGCACGGGGGGACTTGTCCACGGATAATTATGCGCGAGTCGACCATCCAGAGTTATTCGCATACAGTCCGCCAGGAAAGTAAATTTGAAATTCAAATCGGCCCGATCAGTTAGCACTCACCGGATCTCACAGCAATGCTGGATCACATCATCGCCCGATCATAACGAAAAAGAGGTAAGTATCCTTAGTTTTTACATGTATGGTCACAAGAGAATATCAGTCCCGTTGTCTGTGCAAAAAAAGTGTCTTGTCAGTTTGATGACCCAGAAGTATAGGTGACCAACCATAGTTCTTTCGATAAGTGAGAGTGTCGAATCCAACAAGGAGCATGTTGGAGTTGTGTCGAATATAGTGTACAAGGTGGGTTACAGTTGGACTTGTAGTTGTATTGTGTTTATAGGATACTGAGTCGTGTCCTAGTAGCACACTTATATCCTAGGCCTTTCATATATAGCGGGGGTAGACACACGATGTAACCTATGTCAACATAATAGCACCGGAACGCAGGGGAAGCCGGCGGCATGTGCCGGCGTCCAGGGCGACCGGGTGCGGTATTGTGATGGTGTCACGGGGAGGAGCGCCCGTAGTCAGGCCCCGTGGATGTAGCCATGATCGGTGAACCTCGTTAACAAATCTCGGTGTCGTGCTCGTGTGATTGCTTGGTCCTCGAATGATCGACGTGTTGGGGAACGTAGCAGAAATTCAAAATTTTCCTATGTGTCACCAAGATCTATCTATGGAGAAACCAGCAACGAGGGGAAGGAGAGTGCATCTACATACCCTTGTAGATCGCTAAGCGGAAGCGTTCAAGAGAACGGGGTTGAAGGAGTCGTACTCGTCGTGATCCAAATCACCGGAGATCCTAGTGCCGAACGGACGGCACCTCCGCGTTCAACACACGTATAGCCCGGTGACGTCTCCCATGCCTTGATCCAGCAAGGAGAGAGGGAGAGGTTGAGGAAGACTCCATCCAGCAGCAGCACAACGGCGTGGTGGTGATGGAGGAGCGTGGCAATCCTGCAGGGCTTCGCCAAGCACCGCGAGAGAGGAGGAGGACTTGGGAGAGGAGGAGGGCTGCGCCAGGGGTAAGGATGAAGATCCCATGCGCCTCCCCACTATATATAGGGGTGGAGGGGGCTGGTTTCTTGCCCTCCAAGTCCATTGGGGCGTTGGCAAAGGTGGGAGGAAAGAAATCACATCATTTCCTTCCCCACCGATTGTTATCCCCCCTTTTTAGGGATCTTGATCTTATCCCTTCGGGATATGATCTTATTCCTTCTAAGGGGGGATCTTGGTGCGCCTTGACCAGGGGTGTGGGGCCTTGCCCCCACTACCCATGTTCATGTGGGTCCCCCCATGCAGGTGGGCCCCACTCTGGAACCTTCTAGAACCTTCCCGGTACAATACCGAAAAATCCCGAACATTTTCCGGTGGACAAAATAGGACTTCCCATATATAAATCTTTACCTCCGGACCATTCCGGAACTCCTCGTGACGTCCGGGATCTCATCCGGGACTCCGAACAACATTCGGTAACCACATACAAACTTCCTTTATAACCCTAGCGTCATCGAACCTTAAGTGTGTAGACCCTACGGGTTCGGGAACCATGCAGACATGACCGAGACGTTCTCCGGTCAATAACCAACAGCGGGATCTGGATACCCATGTTGGCTCCCACATGTTCCACGATGATCTCATCGGATGAACCACGATGTCAAGGACTCAATCAATCCCGTATACAATTCCCTTTGTCTAACGGTATAGTACTTGCCCGAGATTCGATCGTCGGTATGCCGATACCTTGTTCAATCTCATTACCGGCAAGTCTCTTTACTCGTTCCCTAACACATCATCCCGTGATCAACCCCTTGGTCACATTGTGCACATTATGATGATGTCCTATCGAGTGGGCCCAAAGATACCTCTCCGTTTACACGGAGTGACAAATCCCAGTCTCGATTCATGCCAACCCAACAGACACTTTCGGAGATACCTGTAGTGCACCTTTATAGCCACCCAGTTACGTTCTGACGTTTGGTACACCCAAAGCATTCCTACGGTATCCGGGAGTTGCACAATCTCATGGTCTAAGGAAATGATACTTGACATTAGAAAAGCTTTAGCATACGAACTACGATCTTTGTGCTAGGCTTAGGATTGGGTCTTGTCCATCACATCATTCTCCTAATGATGTGATCCCGTTATCAACGACATCCAATGTCCATGGTCAGGAAACCGTAACCATCTATTGATCAACGAGCTAGTCAATTAGAGGCTTACTAGGGAAATGATGTTGTCTATGTATCCACACATGTATCTGAGTTTCCTATCAATACAATTATAGCATGGATAATAAACGATTATCATGAACAAGGAAATATAATAATAAGTAATTTATTATTGCCTCTAGGGCATATTTCCAACAGTCTCCCACTTGCACTAGAGTCAATAATCTAGTTCACATCGCCATGTGATTAACACTCACAGGTCACATCGCCATGTGACCAACATCCAAAGAGTTTACTAGTGTCATTAAACTAGTTCACATCATCATGTGATTAAGACTCAATGAGTTCTAGGGTTTGATCATGTTTTGCTTGTGAGAGAGGTTTTAGTCAACGGATCTGCAACATTCAGATCCGTATGTACTTCGCAAATCTCTAGGTCATATTGTAAATGCTGCTTCCACGCTCCACTTGGAGCTATTCCAAATGGTTGCTCCACTATACGTATCCGGTTTGCTACTCAGAGTCATTCGGATAGGTGTTAAAGCTTGCATCGACGTAACCCTTTACGCCGAACTCTTTATCACCTCCATAATCGAGAAACATGTCCTTATTACTCCAAGGACAATTTTGACCGCTATCTGGTGATCCACTCCTTGATCACCTTTGTACCCTCTTGCCAGACATGTGGCAAGGCACACATCAGGTGCGGTACTCAGCATGGCATACCGTATAGAGCCTATGACAAAAGCATAGGGGACAACCTTCGTCCTTCCTCTTTCTTCTGCCGTGGTCAAGCTTTAAGTCTTAACTTCATACCTTACAACTCAGACAAGAACTCCTTCTTTGACTGATCCATCTTGAACACCTTCAAGATCATGTCAAGGTACGTGCTCATTTGAAAGTATTATTAAGCATTTTGATCTATCCTTATAGATCTCGATGCTCAATGTTCAAGTAGCTTAATCCGGGTTTTCTATTGAAAAACATCTTTCAAATAACCCTATATGCTTTCCAGAGATTCTACATCATTTCTGATCAACAATATGTCAACAACATATACTCATCAGAAATTCTATAGTGCTCCCACTCAATTCTTTGGAAATACAAGCTTCTCATAAA